ATCAACGCGTGCATCAAATTAGTCGTCCAACAATCGAGCTTCTCGCCATAACCGAAAAATCGGATCTTTGTAGTGAAGCGGGAATAAACCAGGACCAGGTCGACGTTCAAACATGTGGGGACATTTTCATAATGGAACAGCAATAACTATTATGGTATACGAATTCGTCGAATTATTAATTGGGACGCCAACACGATCAATCGTTCTCATAATTAGTACCTGTATATGCCATAACACCCATTGATGCGTAAAAACGTTTAGCGCAGCATACCGAATTACATCGAGATATGAATGTGAATATTATGAGTGCATACTAATTAATGTCATCGCGTATCGAATGGATTATTTTCCAAACTACCACATTGAGAACTTTAATAAACGTTATGAATCCCTAAAAATATTTAAGCGATAAAAAAAGGGATATGTTCGTAATTATGAACGAAAAATACATTTTTTTTTTTATTATATCATGACCCTGTCAATTTTTTTTCGAAAAGGAAACGAACGTGTAAGAGAGTTTCTGAAACCGATGGATAAAGCGATGAGTGAGATTGAAAGGGTCGAATCCCTGGCTTAGATGGAAGCGAAACAGATTATCGATGATGCACTTGCGCTTCGTAGCTCTTATCCTCTCCAGTTTACAATTTATGCACATTAGGCGTAGACGCATACACGCAGCTTCGGTCGAACTAACATTTACCCTCGTAGTACTGCTTTAGTCGTTGTTATGGAGTATTTGGTGTAACTAAATTCCGAGCAAATCTTTTCAACGTATCTGCAATCGCAGACGTAAACTATAAATATCGCGGATAAGGATCTTTGACGTACGTGCGTAACACCGCCGTGTAACGATAACACCGCCGTGTAAAATGTAATTTCCCACGACATGTGAAATGTGCAGAAAATATTCGCGAAATTTTTCCGCAAAGCTTACGGCTTATCTGATTTGCATTCCGTCGATAATTTCGTCGTTAATCGTCGATCGATCTCTGCTTATCGAAATTTCCCGTCTTCGTCTTCGTGGTGCGCGTGTTTTTGCAATAGCTTTCATAAAGATATGCTCGTGGTAGGAAACAGAGGTATCGATCCTGATATGCCTCATACGCGTGTGCATGCCCGGCGGTGCGTCGAATGGCTCCTTTGCATTTCATGCGCGGGTTATCGATGCAATATTCTTGACATTCGCGTGCGTCGAAGTCGTTTATCCGCGTGCACGGGATCATTCGTAAATATCGGGGATCTGCAATCCTACCCCACAGTTGAGAACGCGAGGAGTACTCTGTGTATATTGTTTCTCTCTGCTCGCGGTAAAAGTTTAAAACTGGCTTTTCCATTCCATTCCATATGATATGATACCTAGACGCGGACTTCGTACACACTTTGCCTAGCTTTCGAACTAATAACATTTATGATAATGTCTTAATTTAATGTTTCTTAACTTGGATATCTCAATAATACATTTGTGTCTCTCAAAGAAACGCAAAATAAAATAAACAGCATTTTTCATTTTACATTTTTTTCTATTATTTATATCAGAATAAAATATAAAATTGAAGCTGCGTTATTAAAGATTAATCGGGATTTTTAATAAATTAAGATTATTAAAAATCAAAATCATATGTATATCATGTAAAATAAATATTTATGTTTATATAACGATAAAATGTGAGGATCGGTTGATAAAAAAAATAGCAAACAGTTTTTTGGATTTTGGAGAGCATTTCCGAAAATTTTGAGAATGCTGCTGCTTCCGCTGCGAGATAGATTAATTAAGATAGGTTATTAAGAGCCTTAAACGTCAACGTGTAAATGGATCTCACAATCAATGATAATGAGCGGCAACGTCGTACACGGAGATCTAAAATCTGATGGCTACACATTGCGTGGCTTCACGTGCGTGTCCGCACAGAGGCTTTCAAGTACATTGGTGATCTAGAACGGGAGAGATACGATGCATCATCCTATCGCGCACATCAGCCGTGGCCGCAAGTAAGCCTATTAGTACGCCGGGTTATTAGAGGATACCATCTGACCCAAATTCCGAGTCCTTATCGGTTATAGGCGTACGCCAACGTGCGTAGGCATCCTTAACGCGAATTTACGACAACGTTGTAAGCTCAGGTATATACGCGCGCTGCCAAGCTGTCTCAACTTCTGAGTGGAGGATCCGTCGTACAACTATTCAGAGACGTATCAAATCGGGACGCTCCGTTGCTCAGGCATTATCCTATCACGGACATGATTGACTTATAAACGATGAGCAAGCTTCTGACGTATCGCGAGCAAACGTAAAGTCGATTTCAATCGGGACAATGGTGCTATGTAGATGTGGCACTTCGTTTCACTATGATTAGAAATGACTGGTATTTGTTTCATGCAGATGTGATGTTGGATCAATTCACGAAAGAGATCTATAATAACGTAAAAATGTTGTATATGATGTTGCCGCCGTTGCAATCGGAAACTTTTGTTTCCTGTTGGAATCGCCATATCATAGTTTCTCGATAAGTCCCCCAACGTTCGACGGGACTTATGCAGATGTATCGATATTAACCACGGACGAAAAATATACAACTATGAGTATGATGCGAAGTCCGCGAGTGCAAAAAGAAGATATACATTTATTTGCTCGCGTTAGAGCAAGATTGCAGATATTGTACGATCGTTCTGGCTGTTTTTTCTGAATTTTGGATGCATCATTCTTAGTCAAAATTAACGCGACATTTATGAGAGAGAAAAAGAATTTCGAGATGTTAAATGTATAATAAAGCAACGAGGAATAAGCCGTAATTGCATAGAAGTGTCGTTAAAAGAGTTTAAATCTTTGTCGAGACATCAGAGCTTATGGTGCCGTCTTACTCTCACGTCGGACTTTTTTATCTCCTCATCAACCTTCCGTCGTGCTAAGTGTAACATTACGAGCCGTCAAGGAGGAGCCATCACACAAGAACTGCTTTACACAAATCAAGCCGCGCAAAGTTTCTCCCCATCTTTGCGGGACTTTTGTATGATGAGACGAAAAAAGAGACGTCATTTAGTACTAATAAACGCTATAAGAGAGAGAGAGAGAGAGAGAGAGAGAGAGAGAGAGAGAGACTATTGGAATTAAAGTAGATCAAAAAACATGTCGAAAGTATATTAAAAGTTCTTTCCGTTTATCATTTTTCTTCCGAAATTATCTACAGAACTTTTCTTTTCACAACAAAATAAACGAGAAACGTAATGTTCTGAAAAGTCGAGTCTTCGGGATTAAAATTTATTTCCAATTTTTTCCACATTGTTCTATTTATCATGTATATATTTATATAAAACGAGAATTTATATGGAAATCTTTTTAGATAAAAATAGATAAGTGAAGTTCGGGAAGAGATTTGAACGATCTGGGTTTATCATTTATTTCAATTTATTCCATTCGATCCACCACTCGTCCTCATTTTCGCGACATAACAACGGCAGCGTCGGCGGCTACTCAATAAAGCGATTAAATCCCTCGTAAAGGGAATTCATTAAAATCGACGTTGGAGAGCGATATGGTCGATCGCCTCTAATCGGGTCGTTGATCCTCGAATGAATGCGTTACACGGTGAAAGTGGCGTAACGAATAATGTTAACAAGCTCCCTCCTCTTTACTGAAAAAAAGAGAAGATAAAAACGTTATCCGATCTCGAAATACTATTTCAAGTGGACGCGCGAAATCGCCAGTTATCTCAAAAGATACAGCAACTCGCCAGATCGTGCGCGCGCTTCGAAAATTGCAAAATTAATTAGAAATACATTCTGTTGTTCGTTAAAAATCTTTTTTTTTTGTTGCATTTTACAAAATTCTTTAAAATACATTTTTTTTAATTGTGCGATATATCGAAATTTCACTGAAATACGTGTGTTGTCGATCGAAAATTTCTTATTAATATATGTTATTAATATATATATATATATATATATATATTAATATATATTCTTATTGATATACGTCAATAATCGTGAGACAGAAAACGATATCCGGATCCATATAGGATTGCCCAGCAGCGAAGTCTTTTCCCCTTCCCCGTCGAAAAGAATTGGATTCCTGAAGCGCACGTCAGGTCGTTTTGCTCCTTTCACTTTCCGATCCTCATCCTCGCGCACGTGTTAAACTCATTTCGATTATTATCGCGATCGTAAACGATTCCTTTTCAAAATTCTTGTTCTGTGGAATTTCTTCCGAAAGTCGCGAAACTTGCGCGAGTTACGATAAAAATAGAAAAACCAATTATCCATTACGCAATGAGAAAAAATACATAAAATAAAATTAAACGATAAATAATTGTAACAATTTCAAAGTTACATGAATAATGATTGATCGCATATATTTTATATTATTTGTTATATTAATAATAATAAATATATAATAAATATTATTTATTATATATAATAATTTTAAAACTATTTTTAAAACGCAGGGAAATTCATGAAAGTAACTGTTACAACTGTTTAGATTCCTTTAATTAAAACATTTGATTAGATTAAATGAAAACCTTATTTTTATTACGCGTTCTTGTTTTGATTTCATGAAATGTTATATGGATCGAATCCGGAAGCATGAAATTGTGACACTAGCCTCGCAGGATATCCCAAAACCGCTGACAGATAATCTTTATCTGACAATAAATATCGGTGTACCGCGTTGTTTTGTTTCAGCCGAGTTTCCTTTTTCTTTACATAAAGAATTATGTCGTAATAATTTTGTTGAATATCACGCGCAAAATATCTGTGGAAACAATAATGAATAATAACTGTTCTCTATCTCTTATTTGTTTTACATCGCGATAAGTTAAATAAATATTTAATATCTTCAATAATTAGAAGTTTGTTGTTTAGAGAAATCATAGCGAAACGTAAACACGTAAACAAAATGTGTTTTAATGAGAATCTTTTTTTTTTAGAGAAAGCTGAAGTATAAATAATTTCTTCGAGAAGTATGACGTATTGTATTGATGTGTTCGGGTTTTCTCCTCATATCGAATCAGTGTCAATTCAAGAAATATCTATTATATGTCGCACCGTTTGAAAGTTTTGCGAAATCACGACAAAAATGTTTGAAATTATCAAGCATAAAGAAACTAAAATAATCAGGATACTGATCATCTAACTCATTCCTTGAGAGCGGAAAAAATGAAAATTTTCACTATTAGAAGATAATGGGTAAAAATTTTTTTTCTCCCTTTCCACGAAAAAGTTACATGATCGGTACTTAACGTATATATTTATACTTTATTCCTATATCGTTATAAACTTCATACTAAGCATTACAGCAACTTAATTCGTACGCTCCTTCGACTTCCATTCGTTGGAGCCTTTGAATTATAATTTTTTTTCTGATTTACAATCAATCTTTTTTAATTAATCAATCTGTTTTTTTTGTTTTTTTTTTCATCAAACCGCATAATAGATTTTTGATGCCGCGATGACGAATACATCACAACGACAATGATGACATTTGTCTGTCCCCCAGATGGATTCCCCGTCGAAATTCGAGCCGACGAGGAAGACGGCGGAGGTGCATCGTCACGCCGCTGGCGAGACCACGGAGTTGGGTGAAGTGAGAGTGACGGCGCCGAGCAGCAGCGTCGTGACGTCGATGCCGTCCAGCGTGACGCACTCCAGCAGCAGCGGTGTGGCGGTGCCCTGCAGAAACGGCGGCTGCAAGATCTGGAGGAGCAGTCGTATCGGTGAACCGCGGGCCGAAAGTCCCTGGCACTCGCTCAAGACCGTCTTCCTACTCTCTGTGATCGTGGCGTTCCTCATTTGGATCGTCGTCTACACGCTGCTGGACCAATATCGGATCCTGTGATTCCAATCGGCTCTCCCTCTGTGGCTGCGCGATCTATCCTTCGACCTATCTTATTTGGCCTTCACGACCAGTCACGTGGCCTTGCGTTATTGTTACTTGTCAAATCTTGTGATTTCCACATGACTGTGTGATCACGATTATGGTTGAATCCCCGGCTCCTATGTTTCCACGTGACGTGCCTTGCGGATAATGATTTATTGTTGTTGAATGCATTTTAACTTGGTATTGTTCATCACGTTTGTATTATACATGTGTTGTGACGATCGTTCAACGAGAATGAAATGAGGAAGTCCGTGAAGCATGATTTGAGAAGAATAGCCGAATGCTCGGAGAGGATTGCTCCTGGCAGCTCGGGGCTTCCGTCCGGATTGTAACATTGTACATTCCGTATTGTTTCATAAATGTTTATGACTCCTGTAAATATTTAAATAAAATACAACGTTATATACAATTCATTACAAGAGATGTAGATTATTCAATCCCTTTATTATCATACTCGAGCAGATTGCGCGCTGAATCCGGTGCTAAAAAATTAAAAAGTACAGCAAATCTTTACGCAGAGTCGTAAATAATACTGAGAGACGTTTCTTAATAAAGATCTTTAAAAACTGCGCGGATCTTAGTAATTCTACAAATCGTCAAAGTCGATCAAAAGATTCGTTCGTCTTCTCTTCCGTATAACACTTACGCTAATCAGACAAATCAATGAACGAATTTTTTGACCAAATTAGCTTAATGGTGCTTCGCATTTTTGGCCGGGATTGCAATAGGCGAGGGTCTCAAGACGATCGTAGAGGAGAAGGGGAGATAAATTAGATATCAATTTACATATGAGCCACGAGAGAAATACATATTAAATTTGATAATGGAATTTATATTCCATTATTTCTCTTTTTGTTTATCGGCGTTAAGCTCAAATCCCCTTCACCTCTACGTGACATCGTAATGAAATTGTCGTTGATAAAAAAATGACTGCGCACACATGATCGAGCATGTATCTCGCAAGAAAATCACACGGCGACGGAGTTAGCGAATCGCGATCCGCGGCAGATGACGACGTCATCGAGAACGAGCGGTGGTTTGAAACGATCGAAAGACAAGAACCGCAACCGCAGTCGCAATCGCAGCTGGAGTCGCAGCCAGAGCCGCAG